GCACATTGATGGGCCTGAATCTGGCCTTGTTAAACGTGTGAATGGTCTGAAGGTATAGTTGAGTGCACATTGATGGGCCTGAATCTGGCCTTGTTAAACGTGTCAGTGGGCTGAAGGTATAGTTGAGTGCACATTGATGGGCCTGAATCTGGCCTAGTTAAACGTGTTAGTGGGCTGAAGGTATAGTTGAGTGCACATTGATGGGCCTGAATCTGGCCTAGTTAAACGTGTCAATGGGCTGAAGGTATAGTTGAGTGCACATTGATGGGCATGAGTCAGGGCCCTTGTTAAGCGTGTAAATGGGCTGAAGGTATAGTTGAGTGCACATTGATGGGCCTGAATCTGGCCTAGTTAAACGTGTCAATGGGCTGAAGGCATAGTTGAGTGTACATTGATGGGCCTGAATCTGGCCTAGTAAAACGTGTCAATGGGCTGAAGGTATAGTTGAGTGTACATTGATGGGCCTGAATCTGGCCTAGTTAAATGTGTCAATGGGCTGAAGGTATAGTTGAGTGCACATTGATGGGCCTGAATCTGGCCTAGTTAAACGTGTCAATGGGCTGAAGGTATAGTTGAGTGTACATTGATGGGCCTGAATCTGGCCTAGTTAAACGTGTCAGTGGGCTGAAGGTATAGTTGAGTGCACATTGATGGGCCTGAATCTGGCCTAGTTAAACTGTCAATGGGCTGAAGGCATAGTTGAGTGCACATTGATGGGCATGAGTCTGGCCTAGTTAAACGTGTCAATGGGCTGAAGGTATAGTTGAGTGCACATTGATGAGCCTGAGTCGGGGCCCTAGATAAACGTGTCAATGGGCTGAAGGTATAGTTGAGTGCATATTCATGGGCCTGAATCTGGCCTAGTTAAACTGTGAATGGGCTGAAGGCATAGTTGAGTGCACATTGATGGGCCTGAATCTGGCCTAGTTAAACGTGTCAGTGGGCTGAAGGTATAGTTGAGTGCACATTGATGGGCCTGAATCTGGCCTAGTTAAACGTGTCAATGGGCTGAAGGCATAGTTGAGTGTACATTGATGGGCCTGAATCTGGCCTAGTAAAACGTGTCAATGGGCTGAAGGTATAGTTGAGTGTACATTGATGGGCCTGAATCTGGCCTAGTTAAATGTGTCAATGGGCTGAAGGTATAGTTGAGTGCACATTGATGGGCCTGAATCTGGCCTAGTTAAACGTGTCAATGGGCTGAAGGTATAGTTGAGTGTACATTGATGGGCCTGAATCTGGCCTAGTTAAACGTGTCAGTGGGCTGAAGGTATAGTTGAGTGCACATTGATGGGCCTGAATCTGGCCTAGTTAAACTGTCAATGGGCTGAAGGCATAGTTGAGTGCACATTGATGGGCATGAGTCTGGCCTAGTTAAACGTGTCAATGGGCTGAAGGTATAGTTGAGTGCACATTGATGAGCCTGAGTCGGGGCCCTAGATAAACGTGTCAATGGGCTGAAGGTATAGTTGAGTGCATATTCATGGGCCTGAATCTGGCCTAGTTAAACTGTGAATGGGCTGAAGGCATAGTTGAGTGCACATTGATGGGCCTGAATCTGGCCTAGTTAAACGTGTCAGTGGGCTGAAGGTATAGTTGAGTGCACATTGATGGGCCTGAATCTGGCCTTGTTAAACGTGTCTATGGGCTAAAGGTATAGTTGAGTGCACATTGATGGGCATGAGTCAGGGCCCTAGTTAAACACGCACATGATTGGGCCTGAGCCTTGTTTGCCATATTTTTAATCAGGGTTTTTGGTGTCGGTTGTTATATGGCCGAATGTGTCTTCATGCTTTAATTATGGGCGATTGTAATGTGCATATTAGCGTCTCGTTAATGAGGTGCAATTCATTAATTATGAATATCAAACGTGTAGGTGATGCTGAACACAGCAAAGCCTTGCCCATCACTGGGGATACGTTCTTGAAATTAGCTGCAATCGGCAAATCCGCGATCCACAAACTCAAAGACATTTAATTGGAAGCAGGGTTTGGTTCAACGGTTCGTAATACGACACTCTCAATGTTGCTGTACGCTACTACACATCGAGCCAAACATTAAACAGGAGGCATTTTGAATTATAAACAATTAACATTTTCTAGCGTTAAATATAATTTGTAGGGTAAATGTATGGAATGATATATCTATTTTCACGTAATGTACAATACTTATACACGTATCCGTGTACAGTACTGTTCACTATATGAAGAGGAATCTTGTGGTTGAATCTCACTGCCACCGCGTGACCTGGGAGCCGTGATGGGCCGTGTGGGAGACAGATTGAGACAGGACGGAGATAACATGGAGACAAGCTGGAGACAAGTTGGAGACAAGCTGGAGACAGATGGAGACAAGCTGGAGTTAAGCTGGAGACAAGTTGGAGACAAGCTGGAGATAACATGGAGACAAGCTGGAGACAAGCTGGAAATAACATGGAGACAAGATGGAGACAAGACGAGGACAAGCTGGAGACAAGATGGAGATAACATGGAGACAAGCTGGAGACAAGCTGGAGACAACATGGAGACAGATGGAGACAAGCTGGAGACAGATGGAGACAAGCTGGAGACAAGATGGAGATAACATGGAGACAAGATGGAGACAAGTTGGAGACAAGACGGAGACAAGCTGGAGACAAGATGGAGACAAGCTGGCGACAAGCTGGAGACAGATGGAGACAGATGGAGACAGATGGAGACAAGACGGAGACAAGTTGGAGACAAGATGGAGACAAGACGGAGATACCATGGAGACAAGACGAGGACAAGCTGGAGATAACATGGAGACAAGATGGAGACAAGCTGGAGACAAGACGGAGACAAGCTGGAGACAAGCTGGAGATAACATGGAGACAAGCTGGAGACAAGATGGAGACAACATGGAGACAAGACGAGGACAAGCTGGAGACAGATGGAGACAAGATGGAGACAAGACAGTGTGTTATTCCGTGGCAGCTTCACCGCGAGTTGTCCAATTCCGCCGCGTGCAGGAATCTCGCGGTCAACCGCGAATGGCCGAGCCGCAGGGTCACGATCGGCGAACTGAACCTCGATTTGGTGCGAAACCACGATAGCTCAATCCACCAGTGGGATTTATAATTGACTAGCTAGCGGGACTTGGATTCACCACGGGCGGCCGCCTTTGTCTCCCTTGTGGCGATGTTCACACACCACAGCAGTTACTCGTTTGAGGCTGAGTCGACCTAGGTGAGGGCCAGGACCGGTTAAAATAATCGTCACCGGTGCTGGCCGTGAGCGTAAATCGAAGTCGGATCGCCGGGTTCGTAGCGCAGCGTCGCGCTAACCGCTACACTACAATGCGTTACGCTTCCACACATACACAGACACACACAGACACACACACACAGACACACACACACAGACACACACACACAGACACACACACACAGACACACACACACAGACACACACAGACACACACACACAGACACACACACAGACACACACACAGATACACACACAGATACACACACACACACAGACACACACACAGACAGCGCGCTAACCGCTACACTACAATGCGTTACGCTTCCACGTGCGCGGGTCACGTGATAGATTTGACGTCACAGCTCACTTGCCGTGCAAAAAATATAAGCATTATTGAGCTCTCCCCCGCAAAAATACAAAAGTGTATTTTTATAATTTTTGCATGGTGTTCAGTCTGGAAAGTACCCGCATGGGAAATTTCAAGTTTGTTGCATGTCGGGAAGTACGCTAAACATTTTGAACAGACAACACATAATCACAACTTTGCCTTTTATATATATGGAGATGATTCATGGTGGGCAGATGTATGGGAAATTGGGGACAATGTATGAATGGAGATTATGCCAATGATAGTTATTTCATTAAACGGTAGAATGTTGATTTGAAGCTTTCGTGACTGCAGGAATCCATTCTCTTTGGTTCTTTCGGTAAAGTCACGTAGGTAGAAATAAAATAACACACAAGCAATCTTCATCAGGTGGAACAACCACAGCAAGGACAATGCTGTGATTGTTCCACCTGATGAAGGTTGCCTGTGTTGCGACCGAAACGTCGTGATTTGTTTCATTTTATTTCTACCTACACGACTTTACCCAAAAAGCCAAAGAGTACGGTAGAATGTTGTATATCGAGAGCCGTGTTAGGCACTGCGAGGGGGCGATTGGCTCAGTCGTGACCCCGATAGATGTGATAATGTTGTGGGTCTTCGTCGGCGCACGACTTCCATGGACGTCACCGCAGCTGAACGCTGTCCGCTGGCGTGTGTGGGAGGGCAGAAACACGGCACGGGGTCGGGGAAAACAATGCCAGAGGCCCAACAAAACTCGGAACGTTTAAATGTCACGTCAGCCAATCCTGCGGTAAGACCCGTGGCCAGAAGTGCGAGACACGGCGAGGTCCGGTTAACACATGCAAGCAAGGTTTGGGAGAGTGGCTCTGTAAGAGCACAGGGCACAGCACAGTATCGAGGCAGTGGTTCTTAACCTTTTGCTGCAACCATCTGAATTGTTGAAACGTGTATAATGTTAAGAAACACTTAGGTTTGATGAAACAAAGTGGTTGTAACGTACGTGGCCCTGCTTAATTTGTGGTTTTCGATGATTTACCTTTGGGGCCGTCCATAAATGACGTCACGCGATTTTGGACGATTTTTGACCCCCCCCCCCCCTCCGTCACACGGCGTCACAAAAAGTTAGACCCCCCCCCTCAAATTACGTCACAAAACTTCGCCCCCCCCAAAAAAATATATAAAACATGCTTCCAATCGCTTTAAACTATTGAACTATTGTCATTGTAGTGCGTATTTAATGTGGCGCTGCACTCTGATGTTGTTGGAGAAAACATTAAAAAAAGTCTATTTAATTAAGTAGAACGTGTTGTCTATATTGATTTAAAGTTACGCATTTTGACGTGACGTCACATTTCTCAACCCCCCACCGCTCGTCACACATCGTCGCAAATGTCTGACCCCCACCCCTAGGTGTGTGACGTCATTTATGGACGGCCCCTTTACAAAAAAAAGGGCATCTCGTACCCCCCGTAGAAGCTTGCACCCCAGGTGAAGAACCACCGGTGATGGGAACCATTTAACAGAGGTACTTTGGTCCCTCGGTTTGCGATGCCATCGACTTAACGGTTTTTCGATTAACGGACCGCCTCCCATAGGGTCCCATTGTTTCTGTTATTGATACATTTTCGAGGAACGATATGTGTTTACGATATCACCCTGAAGCCGATTTCGACCAATCGGAGCGCTCCTAGTGGATCCAGCAGGCCTCAGCCAATCGACGACGCCCTTTTATGAGCATTTTGAGAGCAGCTGGCTTTTGAATATTTGATGTTCGTTGTTTACAGAAAACCACTCTCTTGAATACTTTGTCTTTCTTTTTTCTTTACTTAAAAGTTAAATAAGATCAATAACAATGGAACCCTAAAATGAATGCGGACAAACACAAGAAATTAAGGAAAACGTTTTCTCCCACCCCAACTTATCCATCAACTCCTTAGGCCATCCATCTTCTTAGCCTAAGGTAATTGCATTTCATGCTCTATTTATTCACCTTTTTTACACTCTGTTACTTATTCGTCCATGTTTATATTACTTGCTTAACATGCTCTAATGGCGTTTATTTATTAAAATTGCATGTTTGAATAGAATAAACTATGTTTCTAGGGTGAAAAAAGTCAACTTCTGATCGTCTTGGAACAAATGAAGCCTTTAACATGTATTTCATATATTCGATTAGCGAGATTTTTTTTATTTATTAACGATGGTTTTCGTGATACCAATTAATATCGTTCACCGGGAGACCGCTGGTGATAGAGACACGATGAACAAGCAGTCTTGCAAACGGTGCAGTATCATACCAATGTCAGAGCGAAGTCTAAAACTACAAGAAGTGACGTCACAGAGGCCATGGTTACTCAGGGATTGTGTACCGCAACGAGAAACGCAAACCCCACGCTTCATTCGGACAACCTGAAGTTCCTCTCTCCCGCCCTGAAAATCCGAAGGCTCAGGATCTTGCGGAAGGCGCCGCGGAACTGGCGGTTGAAGGAGGCGTAGAGGAGCGGGTTGACGGCCGAGCTGATGTAGCCCATCCACGTGGCCACCTCGTACTCGACGTCGAAGTTGCTGACGAAGGGGAACACGAGCACGATGATGTAGAAGGGCAGCCACGAGAGGAAGAAGGCCGCGATGATGCTGCCCAGGGTCACCGTGGCGTTGTGCTCACGTCGCATGCTGCTCACCCTCTGCTGGCCCTGACTTTGGACCTTCGTGGTCGCTGCCTTGATCTGGCGCGCCTGCCTGCGTGCCACGTGGTAGATGCGCGCGTACACGGCCATGATGACGAGCATGGTGATGAAGTATGGGCAGGCGCCGTAGAAGAAGTGCAGCGAGACGTCGACGCTGAAGAGGCAGTCGTCGGGGCAGCCCTCCCTCTCGATGGCGCCGGGCGCGAGCTGGGGGCTGAAGCTCAGCAGGCTCGGCGAGGTGAAGAGCGCCGCGCCCAGCCACGAGATGAGCAACATCGCAACGATGGCGCGTTTGGTGACGCGCTGCGTGTAGCGCAACGGGTCGCAGATGGCCACGTAGCGGTCGTAGGCGATGCAGCTCAGGTGGAAGATGGACGAGGTGCAGAGGGTGTAGTCGACGAAGTATAAGACGTTGCAGAAGCTGTAGTCGTAGTACCAGCAGTTGTAGACGGTGCCCATCATGCGCAGGGGCATCACCATGGACCCCAAGCTGAAGTCGGAGACGGCGAGGGACATCGCGAGGATGTTGGTGTGAGTCTGCAGCTGCCGGAAGATGATGACTGAGCTGATGATGAGCAGGTTGCTGAGGATCGTAACCACGATGAAGAAGCTGATGATGATGAGGATGATCGGTTGGCTTTTCTCCGGCAGGCTCGGGCCACTGCAGTTGTAGCCGTGATAGTCGATGCATTGCAACGTCTTGGTTGTGTTCGCCATGACTATGAGGGGTCCGGTTGCAAGTAGCTTTGGTACCCTTTGACCTCACCACTGGAGAAATGTAAGTCTTAATAAGTGGTTAATATAATTAATTTAGCGGCAGTACCTGTTTTTTTTTTTCCCAGCTGCCTTTGCGAGTAAAACTTTAACCAAAGCAATGCCCGTAGATATTCTTAGCTCTTTCGGTAAAGTCACGTTGAAGGGAAACAATGAAATAAAGCAACGTACCCAGGACGTATCTGCTTCTATGCTTCTCTCTGCTCGGATTATGACCAGTAGTTACATTACTTCCTCTCAAAATCGCAACACACCGTTAAAAAAACGTTTCGCAACAAAACGCCGGTGACAACTGCGATGACGATGTCGCCGACACAGTCTGATCGCACTGTTGACGCCGATGCGCCTTCTCTAAAAGACGACGATGCTCTGTGGTCCTGTGCTCGTTTGGGTCGCAAGCAGCGATGGCGATGTCCGACGGAGGTCGGATGCAGCTTTTTGACTCGTGCTCGAACTTTCTCCTCCCTGACTCCGGCTCCCCGGGTTCCTGGGGAGGACCGCCGGACAGAGAGGACCACAAGAAACTCGCTCACTCGCCACACTCGTTGCCGTGCCCCGTTACCCATGGGTTTTGCCGCACGTTCCATTGGCCCCGTGTCTGCGCGCCGAAACATGGTTTTCGCTTTAACGCGCTTTTTTTTTCCCCGCTTAACGCACGCCGCGCCCGCTGTCGCGCGAGTCGCCCAGCGTGTGACGGACTGCCTCTCTGAGCAGCGTGGGTGTTGGCTGCCTTGTTCGCTGATGCTGGGAGCTGGCGCAGTTAGACTGACGTCGTTTCGAAAACGCTTCGCTTTATTATTAACACCACTACCACCTCATTTGCGTCACCGCAACCTCCGCGCGGCATCGCCATCGTCCTATCTCGTTATCCGTCTTCGCCATAAAACCTATCGCTTTGATATTCGTCGTCTCACCTTCCAGGAATAAGTGACTGTCACACGTCTTATATTTATAGACGATGTAAAAACAACACGCTTCGGAAGAAACCAGTAGTACAGTATTGTCAAATAATCTAAGGAACTGGAGAAGTTATTTGGTGTTCCTCCTCCTCCCGCCTCTGCCCAATGACAATTCCCTTCTCGCTTCTGGCCCTCTTACGCTGGAACAAACTGCCCCTACACGTCAATCAACATCACTCTCCATGAATCGTTCTTCCATTAAAACACTGATTTTACATTACTTACCCCAACTCCCCCCCCCCCCTCTCTTCCCATTCATTAACACCATCATCATCATCATCCCTCTTCCAAACTTCCCTACCCGTCCTTCGCACTCATCATCATGAACCACCCACTGCCACTATCACCACACATCATCATGTTCGTCATGTGCCACCATCCTCGTCGACTCATGTCATCGCACTATTCTGCTGTACAAATGTGTTCATTCTTCGTCGGGCGCCTTGGTCGAGGCGCAATGTGAATGAAAGTAAGATAAGAAAAGTCGATGGATGGGGATCGTCGGCAGTAACCAACACGCACACAGACAAAGATTCCCTCTTATAGCCTTAGCAGTGTGTAGCGGTGTCGTGTTGTGTAGCGATGTGTACTGGTGTGATGTAGCGGTGTGTAGTGGTATAGTGTAGCGGTGTAGTGGTGTGTCAGTGTGGTGTAGCGGTGTGTAGTGGTATAGTGTAGCAGTGTAGTGTAGTGGTATGTCGGTGTGTATTGCAGTGGTGTGTAGTGGTGTATTGGTGTGCTGTGGTGGTGGTGGTGTAGCGGTGTGTAGTTGTGTGTAGCGGTGAGTAGTGGCATGGCGGTGTTGTGTAGCGGTGTGTAGTGGCGTAGATGTGTATAGCGGTGTCGTGTAGCCGTGGTGTAGTATAGCGGTTTGTAGTGGTGTAGCGGTGGGGTGTGCCAGTGTAGTGGTGTAGTAGTTCAAATTCTTGACTTGTCATAGGCGTGCAGTGTGGTGAGTGTTTGGTTAGTTGGTCTGGTGAGTGTGTGTGAATAATGAAGCTGGTGGCTGGTGAGTGGTGGGTGATGTCTGCTCCGCTTCAGGAGGGCATAAGGGTGGTGAGTGCGAACAAACGGCGTGCCTGGTGAGTGTCTACCACGTGGCGAGGTCTCTTGTGAGTGGTATTTTGGAAGGGTGCAATGTCAGCTGAGTGGTAGGCAAATGGCAGTGGTGGCAGAGGTGAGTGGTGAGCATCTGGTGAGAGTATCAGGTGGCGAGCAGTGTCAGGCGTCTGGTGATTGTTGAGAGTGGCTAGCAGAGTCGGGACAGAGCCCATGTTAGGGGAGAAGAGGACTGAGCAGCAAGAAGAAACGATAACCCCGTCTCTAGGACGGGCTGCCCTCTAGATTATAACTGACCCTGTACAATCCATCGTTGGAAGAAGGCCTCCCCGCGTCCGTGTCCCAGTCATGAGAAGTGTTGCGACCTGCAGTGTGGTGAGTGGATCGGGTGGGTTGGGCAACTGGGTGTGAGTGAGTGAATCGGTGGGCGAGTGAGTGGAGTGGGTGGCTGAGTGAGTGGACGAGTGGGTGAGTTGGTGGGTGACTGTGTTGTGCCCTGCAAGTGTGGTGGTTGACCACGGTGTGGGTGAGATGAGACAGTCGGGTAGACCCGAGTGCCCAACGCGAGTGGATTCATCAACGAGTAGAGTTCACAGGCACAGTAACCGTGATAGTCGTAGTAGCAATAGAGGAATCACAAGGAGGCGTCTGACCGCCGGTGAGCGAGCGACTCAGGGACTCGGAGATCCACACAGAGACTCACGTAGATACCCGTGGCCTCCTTTCCAGGGATCGTCACCTCGATATGCTGGAGAGGCTTTGAGTGTTCCAGTGATCCTGAGAGTGAAGCCATCGGGAGTTATGCTCCTGGTAGGCTTTCCCATGGCGGTAAGGTTGAGGATGAGGTCCCAGACTAAGTACGATCCAAGGTATCCTAGCTAGTACCCCACATCCCTGTGCAGATAGGTGCTCTATAGGTCCTTGTGGCAACTCGTCTAGGAGAAGGCCACTCCGAATGAAAACCTATGGTACATCTCTGTGGTTGCCACTTTCGACGGCCGTCTTAGCTCGCTGAGCCACTGTGGAGTAACCCTGAGCCGAACGATTGGGATCGGTGTGCTCGAGCTGATCTGCACTTTAAATAAACTCGAGCGCAGGCGGGAGGAAAGTCCTCCACGCGATTGGGGAGAGGTGGTAACGATAGGTGCAAGATGGCGCTGGCAGCCGCAGCTTTTAACCTGCATCTGGGCGGCTCGGCCGTATTTGTCGCTTGACTGTTGACTAGAAGCAACGACAACAACATCATCATCATCGTCCGGCAGCACCCTGCGAGAACCAAAGCAGCCTTTTCTAGGGACAAACACTGCTTGCTCCCGAACGGAGAGAGAGAGGCCTAGAAAAGGTGCCCTCAACAAAAACTGGCCTCGACTCATCCGGTTGGCTTACCGCTGCCAATGGGCATCTCTTTACGCGGACAGAAAGGAACCAAACTTCTCAACATGTGCATGCTGGAACGTTCGCACAATGGTCAACCTCGGATGAAACCAACCGACCGCAAAGACTGCTCGACTTTCGTGGCAAGGGGAGCTTGCCAGACTCGACATTGGCATCACAGCACAGGGTGAAGTTCGCTTCGCAGAGCAGAGGTCCCTGGCTGAACACGGGGCGGGATACATTCGGTCCTGGTCAGGGAAAGAAAAAGAGGAGAGACCCCTGTCGGGCCTTGGACTCACGATGAAGAACAGCGTCGCCAGTAAACTCCTGAGCCTTCCGATTGACCATTCATTCCGCCTGATGTCTCTATGGCTACCCATCCAGCGTAACCAATTTGCCACCATAATCAGTGTTTATGCACCGACCTTACAGGCTGATCAGGACGCCACAGAAGCATTTTATTCATGACCTCGGAACTCTTCTCCCAGGGGGTTGATCACAAAGACAAGCTTCTTGTGACGGGAGACTTCAACGCAAGCATCGGTTAGAACCATGAGCGCTAGACGGGAGGCCTTGGCAAGCGTGGAATTGGCAACTGCAACGACAATGGTCGTATGCACCTGGAGCTCTGCGCGGAACACCACCTCTGCATAAAACACATGCCTTTCCAAAAAAAAAAACAGATATAAAACCACGTGGAGACACCCGTGCTCCAAGCACTAGCATCTACTGGATTACATCCTTGTACGCCAACAGGACGCAAGGGACATACTACACACCAAAGTCATGCCCAGTGCTGACTGCTATACAGGCCACAGATTGGCCAGAGCAAAAGTCACCCTCAGGATCAAACCACCACCCAAGTAGCAAGGTCTTCACCCCAAGAAGCTCTAAGTAGAGAAGCTCCCCCCCTGTTAAGGGAGGAATTCCAGAACAAGCTCAAGACCAGGCTCAATGAACATCACGGATGAGCAGTGGAAGCATCTAAAACGGCTGTGGAGGTGGTTGGCTTCTCAACGAGGAAACGCAAAGATTGCTTCGATGAGAATAATCCGGAAATCGAATAAATCCTCAAGACTAAACGGTCCTGTCATTCCAGACTTCTTGCCTGTCCCAATGACCAAGCCGCAAAATCTGCATAGAGCGCTGCGTGCAAAACCTTGCTAACAAAGCTGAGAGTCCTAATAAAAACTGGTGGACAGACCTCGCAGAAAGGACACAGCTGTATGCAGACATGGGGGGACACACGAGCATTCTACGAAGCCCTACGCTCGGTGTATGAACCCTTGCACCAGACACAGGGTCCCCCCGAAGACCATCAGATGGCTCAACCCTTGTGACAGGCAAGGAAGCTATCACGCATCGCTGGTCAGAACACTTTAGCAGTCTCTTCGCAGACAAGCGGGCGGTCCAAGAAGCATCCATGGCCAAGTTCCAGCAGAGCGAAGTGAGGACTGAACAGAACACGCCACCAACACGGGCAGAGATTTGCATCTGCCATCAAGAAGCTCAAATCACACAAGGCACCCAGAATCGATGGCATCGCAGCCAAAGTGTACCATGAGGTAGGAGATGCACTTCTAGACAGTCTCACAGACAGTGCCGGGTTAAGCTAGTTCCGGGGCCTGTAGCATGATGTTATGAAGGGTCCCTAAGTAAACAAACAAAAAAAACCCATCAATATTAACACAACCAGGTACTCGTTTCAAGCTGAGTCTACCTATTGGAGGCATACGACCGGTTCAGATAATCGCCACTGATGTTGGCCGTGAGCGGGAATCGAATCCGAGTCGCCGGGGTTCTTAGTGCAACGCGTCGTTCTCCCCCTCGTCCCGCGTCACAGCACGGCCCCGCGCTGTGACGCTCGACCAACGGTAATCCCTATTGAAGTACGCTGCCCTAGAGGGCCCTCTGCATCCGATTCTGGACAGATGGCAGTCTTTTCAAACTTCGACGTCTCTATGCTAACAACAAAACCATGGAGCAATATGTTCTGGAACTGCTCTTCGCAAATGACTGCACTTTTTGTACACACGGAGGAGAAGGCCCTGCGGCTCATTGTGAACTGTTTCTCCGAGGCAGATAATGCTTTTGGCCTGACCATCAGCCTGAAGAAACTGAGGTGTTATACCAGCCTCCACCTCGTAGAGTGTACACTCCACCATCAATCACTCACACGGAGATCCCGGAAATCACACATAGACTCAAGCAGAAACCCAGGGTCTCAAGAAACCCACACAGACTCGCATAGAGACACCAGGGGACCCGGAGATTACTTACATAGAAACCCAGGGTCTCAAGAAACCCACACAGACTCACATAGAAACCCAGGGTCTCAAGAAACCCACACAGACTCACATAGAAACCCAGGGTCTCAAGAAATCCACACAGACTCACATAGAGACCCAGGGTCTCAAGAACCCCACACAGACTCACATAGAGACCCAGGGTCTCAAGAAACCCACACAGACTCACATAGAGACCCAGGGTCTCAAGAACCCCACAAAGACTCACATAGAGACACCAGGGGAACCGGAGATTACTCACATAGAAACCCAGGGTCTCAAGAAACCCACACAGACTCACATAGAAACCCAGGGTATCAAGAAACCCACACAGACTCACATAGAGACACCAGGGGACCCGGAGATTACTCACATAGAGACCCAGGGTCTCAAGAAACCCACACAGACTCACATAGAGACCCAGGGTCTCAAGAAACCCACACAGACTCACATAGAGACCCAGGGTCTCAAGAAACCCACACAGACTCACATAGAGACCCAGGGTCTCAAGAAACCCACAAAGACTCACATAGAGACCCAGGGTCTCAAGAAACCCACACAGACTCACATAGAGACCCAGGGTCTCAAGAAACCCACACAGACTCACATAGAGACCCAGGGTCTCAAGAAACCCACACAAACTCACATAGAGACCCAGGGTCTCAAGAAACTCACACAGACTCACATAGAGACCCAGGGTCTCAAGAAACCCACACAGACTCACATAGAGACCCAGGGTCTCAAGAAACCCACACAGACTCACATAGAGACCCAGGGTCTCAAGAAACTCACACAGACTCACATAGAGACCCAGGGTCTCAAGAAACCCACACAGACTCACATAGAGACCCAGGAACTCGGAGACCCACATAGACTCACATAGAGTCCCAGGGACGCAGAGACCCATAGACTCACGTAGAAAGACTCACAATAGAGACGCTACAGATAACCAACTCTATAAATATTTAAACCCCCACAACTTGTAAGGCATCACGGTGGCTGGGAGATGTTAACTACCTCGCCTGGTATACAGGAGGTCGTGGGTTCGATGCCGACCGTGACGCCTGCTGCTGCTGCTGTATATTTGGAGTTTGCAGTGTGTCTCACCCCGTGCTCTGCTCTTTCGCTCCACATTCATAACCGCACGTTTAGAGTGTTTGACCGCTTGCATTTACACGCGTTGGGCTATCATTTGTGGCCAGGTCGCTTCTGAAAAAAATAGCTGCCGTAGCAGCTTGGCAGAGCCCGGTTAAAATGAAACAAAGTTAATCGTATGAAGGCGAGGGTTCATGTTTAACCATCCATCGTGATGCCGCCACAGATGTCTTACTCACCACGCTTGACACGGGGCATCGGCGAAGGGGGTTGCAGGTTCGGAGTGTGAGTGCGTCTGCCTGTGTGTGTGTGTGTCTCGGCTCTGTGCGTGTCCTGTCTATGTGTGTGTCCGCACTCTATATAAGGGGGCATCCCGCCCTCTCATGAGGTCGTGGGGGGCGTGGGGGGAAGGAGGAGGGTGGGGGGTGAGAGGGAGGAGAGGGTAGGAGGGGGGTAAGAAGGAGCGGGGGGGGGGGGTGAGGGAGCGGGGTAAGAGGGAGTGGGGGTAAGGGGGAGGAAGGGAGGTGAGAGAGGGGGGGGGGGTGAGAGGGAGTGGGGATGAGAGGTGATGGGGGCTTCTCTAGAGGACATGCTCAATTAGAGCTCAGTTTTCACACGTCTTTCTCCTGCCACAGAGGGCCCGCTCCGTTCCTCTATCCCTCGCGCAGACCCCACGGGGTTCCTCGGCGCAGTAGGCACCAGTTATTTAAGGGACGTTTCAACATTCAAACTCATCGTAAATAAATAGGCATTGACGAGGCGCGCTACGTGCTCTCGGCTTTGTCTTGCTGATCACGGAGGGCGATGTCACGGGTTTGTGGGGTGTCAGCAGCTGTGGAGGGCAAGCTGTTGGTTGTGTCGCTCCGTCTGTGCGACCGCGGGATAGAGAGTGAGTGAACACGCAGACTCCAAAACGCACGGCAGGCGCCAGGGTCGGGATCGAATCCGAACGACATCCTCCTGTTCACCAGGCTGGATTTGTTTTTTCCCTCAACACTTGCGATCGACGTCAAAAGCCTCGTAGGGAATTCGTCTACTGCCGCTGCTGTGATAAGGCCGAGCCCTCGCTGGTGGCCAAGTCGTTCCTGGAAAAGAGTTACGCAGCTCTTGCGGCTCTTGCCTGGAATTAAAAAAAAAACGAATACGGTTGTTGATGGGTGTTTCTGTCCACAACTCGAGTCGGCTGCTCCACGCTTCATGGGGGGACTCTGCCGGATTCCCCCAAGCGCGTGGCACGGGGCCCGCCCTTAGGACCACTCGGATTCGATTCCCGCTCACGGCCAACATCAGTGGCGGTCATCTGAACCGGTCCTGGGCCTCACGTAGGTAGACTCGGCCTTAAACGAGTACCCGGTGCGGTGTGTAGTGAACATCGCCACGAGGTAGACAAAGGCGGCCGGGCGTGGTGCTGGCCACCCACCCCTTCATAGGTGCTCGCTAACAGCACTTGCCCCAACAGTCTGTTAAAGGCTATATGGGGGATCTTTGTCTTTGTTTTCAATGGGTGGGTGAGTGGGTGGTCGAGTGTGTGAGTGGCTGAGTGAGTGTGTGAGTGAGTCAGTGGATGAGTAAGGGAGTTAATGGGTGGGTGGGTGAGTGGGTGTGTGAGTGGGTGGGTGAATGGGTGGATGAGTGTGTGAGTGGGTGGGTGGTGGGGTGAGTGGTTGGGTGGTTGGATGAGTGACTGTGTGGTGGGATGAGTGAGTGAATGGGTGGGTGAGTCGCTGTGTGGTGGGGTGAGTGGTTGAGTGAGTGGATGAGTGGCTGTGTGGTGGGATGAGTGGGTGAGTGAGTGGGTGAGTGGCTGTGTGGTGAGTGGGTGAGTGGGTGCGTGAGTGGTTGGGTGAGTCGCTATGTGGTGGGGTGAGTGGCTGAGTGAGTGGGTGAGTGGCTACGTGGTGGGGTGAGTGGGTGAGTGAGTGGATGAGTGGGTGGGTGCGTGAGTGGATGAGTGAGTGAATGGGTGGGTGAGTGGCTGTGTGGTGGGGTGAGTGGGTGAGTGGATGAGTGAGTGAATGGGTGGGTGAGTGGCTGTGTGGTGGGGTGAGTGGGTGAGTGGCTGTGTCGTGGGGTGAGTGGGTGAGTGAGTGGGTGAGTGGCTGTGTGGTGGGGTGAGTGGGTGAGTGGATGAGTGGCTGTGTGGTGGGGTGAGTGGCTGAGTGAGTGGGTGAGTGGCTGTGTAGTGGGGTGAGTGGGTGAGTGGATGAGTGAGTGAATGGTTGGGTGAGTGGATGAGTGGCTGTGTGGTGGGGTGAGTGGATGAGTGAGTGAATGGTTGGGTGAGTGGATGAGTGGCTGTGTGGTGGGGTGAGTGGTTGAGTGAGTGGGTGAGTGGTTGTGTGGTTGGATGAGTGACTGTGTGGTGGGGTGAGTGAGTGAATGGGTGGGTGAGTCGCTGTGTGGTGGGGTGAGTGGTTGAGTGAGTGGATGAGTGGCTGTGTGGTGGGGTGAGTGGGTGAGTAAGTGGGTGAGTGGCTGTGTGGTGGGGTGAGTGGGTGAGTGGGTGCGTGAGTGGTTGGGTGAGTCGCTATGTGGTGGGGTGAGTGGCTGAGTGAGTGGGTGAGTGGCTACGTGGTGGGGTGAGTGGGTGAGTGAGTGGATGAGTGGGTGGGTGCGTGAGTGGATGAGTGAGTGAATGGGTGGGTGAGTGGCTGTGTGGTGGGGTGAGTGGGTGAGTGGATGAGTGAGTGAATGGGTGGGTGAGTGGCTGTGTGGTGGGGTGAGTGGGTGAGTGGCTGTGTCGTGGGGTGAGTGGGTGAGTGAGTGGGTGAATGGCTGTGTGGTGGGGTGAGTGGGTGAGTGGATGAGTGGCTGTGTGGTGGGGTGAGTGGCTGAGTGAGTGGGTGAGTGGCTGTGTAGTGGGGTGAGTGGGTGAGTGGATGAGTGAGTGAATGGTTGGGTGAGTGGATGAGTGGCTGTGTGGTGGGGTGAGTGGATGAGTGAGTGAATGGTTGGGTGAGTGGATGAGTGGCTGTGTGGTGGGGTGAGTGGCTGAGTGAGTGGGTGAGTGGCTGTGTGGTGGGTTGAGTGGGTGAGTGGCTGTGTGGTGCGGTGAGTGGGTGAGTGGATGAGTGAGTGAATGGGTGGGTGAGTGGCTGTGTGGTGGGGTGAGTGGGTGACTGGATGAGTGGCTGTGTGGTGGGATGAGTGGATGAGTGAGTGAGTGGTTGGGTGAGTCGCTGTGTGGTGGGGTGAGTGGGTGAGTGGGTGAGTGAGTGGGTGAGTGAGTGAATCGGTGGGTGAGTGGATGAGTGAGTGAGTGAGTGAATGGGTGGGTGAGTCGCTGTGTGGTGGGGTGAGTGGGTGAGTGGATGAGTGGCTGAGTGAGTGGCTGTGTGGTGGGGTGAGTGGGTGAGTGGCTGTGTGGTGGGGTAAATGGGTGAGTGGGTGAGTGGCTGAGTGAGTGAGTGGTTGGGTGAGTGGCTGTGTGGTGGGGTGAGTGGGTGCGTGGGTGAGTGAGTGGGTGAGTGAGTGAATGGGTGGGTGAGTGGATGAGTGAGTGAGTGGGTGAGTGGTTGGGTGAGTGGCTGTGTGGTGGGGTGAGTGGGTGAGTGAGTGGGTGAGTGAGTGAATGGGTGGGTGAGTGGCTGAGTGAGTGGTTGGGTGAGTGGTTGTGTGGTGGGTTGCCGCCTGTGCTGTTGATCGTGGGCTCGCTTCTCCTCTGGACCAGCGTCGTGGTCCGCATTCGCCCAACGGCACCGCGAATGACTGAATCGTAAATTAGAGCAGCAATCACTGCCCCCCCCACCCTCCTCCCGCACAACAAGCCTGGCAGGAGCCTCCCAGCAGAATCAGCCACGAGGCTCAGTGAGGCTTTTCTTGCGATTTCCGAGAACTTATGATTAATCGCCACGGTGGCTAACAGATGTTAACTACCTCGCCTGTATACAGGAGGTCGTAGGTTCGATCCCGACCCTTACGACTGCTGCTGTATATTTGGAGTCTACGTCTCTCTCATCATCATCATCACGGTGGCTAGGTGATGTTAACTACCTCGCCTGGTGTACAGGAGGTCGTGGGTTCGATCCCTACCCTGACTCTCTATCATCATCATCACGGTGGCTAGGAGATGTTAACTACCTCGCCTGGTATACAGGAGGTCGTGTGGGTTCGATCCCGACCCTGACTCTCTATCATCATCACGGTGGCTATGAGATGTTAACTACCTCGCCTGGTGTACACGAGGTCGTGTGGGGTCGATCTTGACCCTAACTCTCTATCATCATCACGGTGGCTATGAGATGTTAACTACCTCGCCTGGTGTACACGAGGTCGTGGGTTCGATCCCGACCCTGACGCCTGCTGCTCTATATATCCGCGTGCATTTTTCTCCGTGCTCCTTCGGTTTTGTCCGTCCATATTTAGAAAACATGCGATTAGAGAGCATTTGGCTGCTGCTATATGAGCCACTTCGCTGAGCTATCATTCGTGACAGCCTGGTCGCTTCTAAAAAAAACAGAGCTACGTAGCTCAGCGCGACCGTACCTGGTACAATTTTTTTTAAAAACCCATCGTAGTTTAGTTTTAGATGAGCGCGGTTGCCTCCGTGGGGTGCAAAAGAAGTTTAAGCATGCATACATGTCCCGGCTTAAAAATCGCAATGATGTTAGTAACAATACTGACGATATGGTACGATAATGCCATATCGCCATATCGTGGCATCGCGACCCACCCCTCCACCTCCAGGAGTCTGTAGCCCAGGGAGGTGCCGCTGATGAGCCGAGTGGCTCCCTTGCCTGGGGCGTTCAGGCGAATATCCCGCCGAGAGCCGATCGGGGTAATTTTAACTCTCAGTGACTCGAGGGGGTGAGGGGGGGTTGGAGTGGGAGGGGGGTGGTGGGGGATAGGGGCGAATGGGGGGGGGGGGGGGTCGTGATTAAATTAATATATGTGCTGCGTATGAAGTTCGTTGTTGTTCAGCGATTTCCTTGGCACGTGTAGTGACTCCGACTGAGTCGCAGACGTTGTCTTGGGAGCAACACGTTTTATTAAACTCTTGGCACAACATACTCCAGGCTATTGACACAACATACTCCGGGCAATTAACACAACATACTCCAGGCTATTAACACAACATACTCCGGGCAATTAACACAACATACTCCAGGCTATAGACACAACATACTCCGGGCAATTAACACAACATACACCGGGCAATTAACACAACATACTCCAAGCTATTAACACAACATACTCCAGGCTATTAACACAACATACTCCAGGCTATTAACACAACATACTCTAATCTATTAACACAACATACTCCGGGCAATTAACAAAACATACTCCGGGCAATTAACACAACATATTCCAGGCTATTAA